GAAATTCCTCCTTAGTTCCAGGTTGCTTCTCTCCTTGATTAGTTTCCATCTGTTATTTCTTGTCCTGCCCTCAGGTGCTTTGGAGAATAGCTTGACTCCCTCTTCTTTATGGCAGCCCCTGAGATATTGGAACACTGCCATCACGTCCCCCCTCGTCCTTCTCTTCATTAAACTAGACATACCCAATTCCAGCAACCGTTCCTTATATGCTTTAGCCTCCAGTCCCCTAATCATCTTTGTTGCTCTTCTCTGTACTCTTTTTAGAGTCTCAACATCTTTTTTACATCGTGGTGACCAAAACTGGATGCAGTATTCCAAGTGTGGCCTTACCAAGGCATTGTAAAGTGGTATTAATACTTCACGTGATCTTGATTCTATCCCTCTGTTAATACAACCTAGCACTGTGTTGGCTTTTTTGGCAGCTGCACCACATGGCTGACTCATATTTAGGTGATTGTCCACTATGACTCCAAGATCCCTCTCACAGTTGCTACTATTGAGCAAGGTACCAGGAAGTGGTCATTCTGTTCTCTCTGAACTTCTCAGACTGCACCTTGAACAGTATGTCTGGATCTGGTAGCCACAATAAAAGGAAGGTGTGGGGGGAATTGGAAAGAGTTTAGAAAAGATGGGTGAAGATGATGGTGGTGGTGGGTGTTGTGTCCTGAGCCTGCTAGAGCAGAAAGCAAGCTCAGAATTGTTGCAAACGGTCCCAGGCAAATGAAAAGCTGCCCGGGACCAGACAGAGCGGCACCAGCCTTGTGCGCATGCGCAAGGCGTGAAAATTGTCAGTTCCTATTGGTTAACACTGTCAGGGTCTCAGGCCCTATAAAAAGGACTGCGTGCCTTTTGTTGCTTTGCTTGGTTGTAGGAGAAGTTTAATAAAGAACTTGTTGCTTCACCATGTGTCTTCGTCAATTGCCAACGAACGGAATACACAAAAGTGGGGATATTTGAAGACTGTGTAGGACAGGGGTAGGGAACCTTGGCTCTTTTATGACTTGTGGACTTCAACTCCCAGAATTCCTGAGTCAGCATGGCTGGTTCCTTTCCCCTAGTGTAGGAAGTCAGCACACGCGCGCACGCACGCACACACACACACACACACAAGAATGAAATACTTTGGGGAATATTAAAAAAGGGCAGAATATTATATTTCTCCAAAAGGATAAATGGGAAAAGAGGTAGAAAAAAGGAAGAAACCAACCCCCCTCCCAGTGGAGACTTCTTGATCAAGCAGCACTTTATTTGATCAAATCAAGCAACTGGGTGGCCAACAATCTGGAACGCTGGCAGAATTACGTCCAGAAGTGCCAGACCTTAGAAAGTTAGTAGCATTACTTTATAAACCTTGTTAGCCAATGAAAATCAGACAACAGAGTCATTTACATCATAAAGAAGACATCAATCATTCCTGTACACTCCCTTATTCCCTCCTTCAGTACATCCCAACCATATACATGATTCTCACGCCTGCATGAGATTTCCCTGGTGCAAAAGCCGATTACAAAAAGCAAGAAAGCAACAGACCAGTGGTGGCAAACCTTTTAGAGACCGAGTGCCCATACTGCCACCCAAAACCCACTTATGTATCGCCGGGTGCCGGGTGGGTGCAGCCTCTAGACCAGCGGGCCACGGAAATGGCTGGCTGGTGCATGCATGTCTGGGTGCGCATTTCCCCCCCCCACTCGCGATAGCGCCTGTGGCCCTGTTTGTGCATGTGCATGGGTGCAAATGGAATGCTAGCGCAGGGCGGGTGTCCGCAGCCCGTTTGCACACGTGCTGCTAGCCCGGGCGGTTTGCGTGGCCTGTTTGTGCATGTGCGAATGAGCTGCTAGCCGCCGTGGGGGGTGCGCAGCCATTCGCACATGCGCATGAGCATGGCACCAGCACATGCCACATGCATGAATGGGGCTGCTAGTGCCGCACCAGTGTACGCGGCCTTGTTTGGGTCCACACGCACGCACACACACCAATTTTGAAGCTGCTCTCCTTCCCTCCTTTCCTGGAGCCCAGAAAGGTTGGAGACCTCTGGCTTAGGGAATGTCAATGTCAGTGTTCTTCTGCTTATAAGGGCTTCGGGTGTGGGTGTGTCGAGTGAGGGTCTTTTGATGGGTCTTTATAAGTTCTGTTATATGCTTCCCAGAGTCACTTTGTGTGAAATGGTGGCCATATAAATTTGAGAAACAACACTGAAATAAATAAAGGCTTGGTTTCCAGATCTTCCACCATCTTGGTAGTTCTCTTGCACTTCCCCCCAATTTTCCAGCATCCTTTTTCAACTATGGCGCTCAGAATCTTCTTAGTAAAATGGATTTTTTTTTCTTTTTAAGCACCCAGGATGTTGTCCCAGGAAATGCTGGGTTTTGTTTTTTGTTTTTGGCATGGTGCGTTAATGCTAATTAAGCACACAAGATGTGTAAATCTTTTTGAAATCTTTGCTTTGCGAAAAAAGAGTCACTTGGGATTAAAGTTTCCAAACCAAGCCTGGAGATTTGTTCTAAGGCCGTGGGTTTTAAAGGGTTACAGTTGGAAAATCATGACATCGGTTAGTGGATACAGAAAGTGAGCATTGTGGCTGCTAGGCAAATATGAGCTGGTTGGAAGATAACTTACGGAGCCAGTTTCGCTAACTTTCAATCATAAGGCACAGCACCACTGGAAAACAATTTGGCAATTGAGTTATCTCAACTTAATCCTCTTCCTTCTCAGCAACCAGGAAGATCAATTAATGCAAACAGAATTGGCTGTTGCAATCTGTTCCAGCCCATTTCTTATCTTCTCTGTTTGCAGATAGACAGTATAAGTAGCAGCAGCTATAGGGAGAATGATCAGGGGCCTTGGCTTTGCACACCACCAGACATCCAAAAACCATGGGGAAGGGATGGATCTGGGAGGTACCCAGCCTCTCCCTGCTGCTGGTGGTGATTCTTCTTCCTCGGACTTCCTTGGCTAATTACACCGAACCGTAAGATGCTTGTTGGACCTTCTTGTCTTCCTTCTTTCCTCATCAGTTCTCCACTTGCAGCTTTGTCCTTCCTTCTTCTTCTTTGCGGGTTTGCAAGTAGGAAATTCACCCACTCAACAGAGGAGTCATTGTATGGCTGCTGCCCCAGTATGGCAACAGCTGGCTTTGTATGGCTCAGAGGTTTAGAAAAATCAATTGGAGACCCATCCACAAACTCTGAGGCCAGAGGAAGCAAACCTAGCATTCTCATGAGTAATAATAATAATAATAATAATAATAATAATAATAATAATAATAATAATAATAATAATAATAATAATAATAATAATAATAATAATAATAATAATAAAGTTGGAAGGGACCTTGGAGGTCATCGAGTCCAACCCCCTGCTCAGGCCGGAAACCCTACACCATTTCGGACAAATGGCTGTCCAGTGTCTTCTTAAAAACTTCCAGTGTTGGAGCATTCACCGCTTCTGGAGGCAGGTTGTTCCACTGGTTAATTGTTCTAACTGTCAGAAAGTTTCTCCTTAGTTCTAGGTTGCTTCTCTCCTTGATCAGTTTCCATCCGTTGCTTCTTGTCCAGCCTTCAGGCGCTTTGGAGAATAGCTTGACTCCCTCTTCTTTGTGGCAGCCCCTGAGATACTGGAAGACTGCTATCATGTCCCCCCTCGTCCTTCTCTTTGTTAAACTAGACATGCCCAATTCCAGCAACCGTTCCTTATATGCTTTAGCCTCCAGTCCCCTAATCATCTTTGTTGCTCTTCTCTGTGCTCTTTCTAGAGAGTCTTTGTAGGCCATCAAAAGCTAGTTAGAGGAACTAGGATTTGTTTCATTAGATGAAACAAACATTCCGGATGGGTTTGCCACGGCTATGCAATGCTCTATATTCAAAGACAAAAAAACTGGGAGTGATGGGGTATTCATGCAGCTCTTATCTGCAACTCTTTAAAGCAGCCGTGTCTCTTTGCAAAATTCTGCTGTTGCAGACAGCACACTCCAAATCCCCTTTGGGCATTTCAATCCAGAATGCTTCACAATTGTCTTACCCGATAGGAATTTATTCCAGAGCCCAATGTGAGGAGGAAAATTCAGATTATGGACTATCACTACCCCTTATTTCTAGAAAATTGTGCTGGTCCCATTTTGTTGAATGTGACCAGACATGTACACAAACGGTAGCATAAAGATGATTTAATTAGGGCTCAGAAGTAATACTTTTCTGGGCTTCCAAAATTTATTGAATCATGGCTAATCAGGTAGATCCAAAATAACAAATTAAGGTGACAACATATCTTGGTTAATCTAATGCAGGTCCAAAATCCAGTTTAGTTACATTTTGCAAAGAGTTAATGATTCAAAAAAGTTTGATGGCCTTTTGCCCAGAACAGAGCAGAATGTTTTTTTTTAAAGATTTCAGGATTTTTTCCATGAAAACACATGGATCTTGTGACTAGAGAGTTTAGCTCTCTGGATTGTACAGGCAGTTAATTCAAAAATCATAAGATTTTTCATAGAATTGTGGGGGATCATGGTTTATATGAATGTTTTTTCCTCCCTAACATCAACCCTATCCTATACTTATGTGCATTATTCATTTGGATATTGGTATTCTTGGTTATTCTACTTTGTTCTGGGTAACCTCTGGAAGCTGTTGAAGTATAATATTGAAAAGGCTCCATCTCTCTCTCTCATTTATTAACCATACAGCTATGATTTCTGGCATCCATTTTATTTTCAAATAATAATCAATTCTGGCTTTTATACCTTTGCCTTGGGACAGATAAATCCACAGGCCATTTTATTTTATTCCCCAAGTGATGACTGATTGTAATAGAGCAATATCTTACTTTAATTCTGTTTGCAACAGACTTCTTGTCAAGGATGAAACTTTGGCAGCTACATGCCTCTGTGTTTAACAAGGGGGGGGAGGTATTACTTTTCAGTGGGTTAGATGGAGAAAAGAAACTTCTACATAAAAGCCTGAAACCTTTTCAAGGACACCATAACAGGCATGGGTTTGAAGCAGACGGTTCCCATAACAAAGTGAACTTGCTTATATGGACTACAAAAGATGTTGGGGGTTTGGCTGGGAAACGTATTGTTTAAGTCTATGAATTTGTGTTGGAACCTCATGGTTAGTTTTGCTTCGACTTTAGTTATACATCTTTACAGTTTTCTTGCAAAAATCAATTTACAAGTCCATGGCAAAAATTTAATCAAAGATCCAGTCCAACTAGATTTCATTTAGCATTTTTCAAAGCACCAGAAGGACAAGAAGCAATGGATCAAGGAGAGAAGCAACCTAGAACTAAAGAGAAATTTCCTAACAGTGAGAACAACCAATCAATAGAATGGCTTGCCTTCAGAAGTTGTGGATGCTCCATCACTGGAGGTTTTAAAGAAGAGACTGGACAACCATTTGTCCAGAATGGAATGGGGTCTCTTGCTTGTGCAGGAGATTGGATTAAAAGACCTCCACGGTATCTTCCAAGTCTGTTATTCTGTTAACCTCTGTTAAGTAGGGATTCCGGCTTCTGTTCCAGGACAGTAAGCTTTCAAAAGTCGTTTTCACAGACTATCATTTCATGAGATTTAATTCTCCTGCCCAGTTCCTTTCCATTCTCATGGAAGAATCAGGCCATTAGACCTGAAAGAATCAATCAGGCCATTAGACATTTAACTGGAGACAGATCGCCCTGTGCGTGTTGTTTCAAATTGGATAAGGTGAGTGGCTATTTTGACAAAAAGAGAGAACATTATTCCATTTAAATAAGAGAACAGGAATATCTTTTAGAGTCTAAAGAAAGTAATATGGAGAGATGCATTATGCACCATGTGGCACAAATATTGCTTCTTGATTTAAACAGGTTTGGTTGGTTTAGGGTAAAAAAAAGTCCACCAAATCTATTTGCCCAGGTGCAATGGTATTGAGAGAAGAAGCGGTGATTTTTTTTCTTGCAAACTGCCAACATTTCTCAAGAAACAAGAAATATCAATATATCTAGCCATTAAGAGCCTTCCTTCCTGACTTCCGGCTTGCCGACGTGGCTGCCATGGATGTCTGGAAGGCGAGCTCCGTCTTTGGTCATTTAAAACTTGGAAGTAAAAATATTAACAGTTGAATTTGAACACTGATTTGCTTATAAAGGCTAAATGTAAAGGTAATTAATATATATATATATATATATATATAAGCTAAAAATTTATTGATGAATATAATAAATATGTTCTTATTTAGCGGTAATAAAAATTACTAATTTAAATATGAGATAGTAGATATTAAGAGAAGAAGAGAGGAAGTATTAAATGTTGAAATAAGAGAAACTTTGGTTACTGAATTTAAGATATTTGGAAATTACCAGAAAACAAGAATATTATATTGTATTATTAATTGGTTGATGTAAGATGGTGAGATTCAGATAGACAAGACATGTATCCTGAACATTAGATTTTGTGATGAATTGTGATAAAGGGAATTGGGATTATTTAAAACTTGGAAATTATAAATATTAAATGTTAAATTTAAATATTAATTGGAAACTAAAAATTGGGAAAAACTAATCAGGACATTGATTGTCTAAAAAGATTGAATGTTAAAACAACTAGGATATGTATAAACAAAAATGGATAAATGTAAGAAAGTTATTTGTATTTAATTGATATAATAAGAATTGTATTAATTTAAATACGAGACAGTAAATACCAAGGGGAAAAGAGAGAAAATATTTAATATAATATAATAATATTATATTAATAATAATGAGATCTGTACTAAAGATATTTGTATGTTATTGAATAATTGACCAGCTCAGCCGCCATGTTGCTTTTCAAATATTTAAATGTGAAATTAGAAAATCAATAAAAGTTTTTGCATAAAAGAGCCTTCCTTCCTTCCTTCCTTCCTTCCTTCCTTCCTTCCTTCCTTCCTTTCCTTTCCTTTCCTTTCTTTCCTTCCCCCTCCTTCCTTCCTTCCTTCCTTTCCTTCCCTCCCTCTTCCTTCCTTTCCCCTTCCTTCCTTCCTTCCTTCCTTCCTTCCTTCCTTTCCTTCCTTTCCTTCCTTCCTTCCTTCCTTCCTTCCCCCTTCCTTCCTTCCTTCCTTCCTTCCTTCCTTCCTTCCTTCCTTCCTTCCTTCCTTCCTTCAAGGAAATTATTTTAGCTGCAGGGGTGGTGACTTTCTGTAGTGAAACCTACCCTAGTCACAGGGCATCCATGTCACTCACTTGATAAATCCTTTTGCCTTTCCTGCCTTCCAGGCAATACTTGATCCTGGTGCCCTCTGTGATCCACACACAGACCTCTGAGAAGGTTTGTGTCCAGATGCTCCATTTCAACGAGACCTTGACTTTGAGCATCACCATGGAATTTGAGGACAAGAACATAAGCTTGACTGAAGTGAACATGATGGTTGAGAAGGATATCTTCCAATGTATTTCCTTCCAGGTAGGAGTTCCGTGTTTTTTTTTGCCCCCATGATTACTGGCAAGGGTCCAGGAAGTAAAGCAAGAGGTTATAGATAGGAACTGCGAAGAAGCCTCACACTGTTACATTTGTTTCTTCTCCAGCTTCCCAAGTTGAATCATTCCTCAAGGTATCCCAGCCCTACAGACCCTCCCAAGGTCCTTCTCAGGGTGGCACTGAAGGGAAAAAGTTTGAACGTGACACAACAAGAACTGGTCGTGGTCAGAAACCCAAGTGACCTACTCTTTGTTCAGACAGACAAGCCCATCTACAAGGCAGGACAGGAAGGTAAGTGAGGTCCTCCAAGTGGAGAAATTGTAGAGGTAGAGGTATGAACACAACTGGGATCAGAATTGCCATTTCTGAGCAACTTAATTGAGTCATGCCTGATTTTACCATCTTTTTTTTTGCCATGGTTCTTAAGTGAATCACTTAATCTTCGAGTTATGAATGTAATAGAGCAGACATGTCAAACACAAGGCCTGGGGGCCGGATGCAGCCCATGAAGTGGTTTCATGTGGCCCGCGAAGCCATCCTGGAAACAGTGAGGGAACAGCCCCCACTGCCTTGGCCCTGGCACAGGCCAGCCAGGAGCCAATATACAATTTTGCAGTGGCCATCAATGCTGAAACGCATTCAGTCTTAGCTCCACAAGGCTGTCTGGAAACAGTGAGGAACCAGCCCTGCGTGTCAGCCCCGCCCCCTAGGTGCATGCTGGGGAGGTGTCACCCTTTGTGAGGAATGGAGAAATGCACCATCGCCTGGAAGTGGCCAGCAAATGGCCCTCGCTTACGTCACATATCCGGCTTGATGGGCTATGGTGGATGCAGCCCTCAATGAAATTGAGTTTGACACCCCTGTAATAGAGCCTGCCAATTACATTCGTAATCTGAGGATTCGTTTGATCGAATCATGTTAAATGAATGTGATGACTCCCTGCTTTCTCCAATGCATTCGCTAATTGAATGTGAAGGTTGCTAAATGCATGTGAGGTATCTCAAGGTGAGGAAGACTATGGGGGCCTGGTGCTGGAGCAGGCCACCCAAAGTCTCCCCCGGTCCACTGAGATACCTCACGCTCCCCTGGGGTCCCCACAATTGCTTCCCCCCCATCCTGCCCTGCCGGGTCTCCACAGACTGGGCCTGCTTTGTAGCATCCCATAATCCACTTACTCCTCCCCACCCCATTTCCCATGGCTTTACTGAAATAGGCAGGGAGCATGTTGCAGCGTCTCTACGATCAGTCATAAAGGCGAATGACCACTGTGTGGCAGTTTGCTTTTTAAGATGGTTAATAGGCAATTTCTGACAGCAATTAGAAAGTGAGGCTTGCAAACTTAGTGTCCTTTAAAAGGCTTCATTGAGATTGCAAAGATAGCTGATCCCTTTGTCTCTGGGCACTCCAGTTTGTGGGAAACCACTGTTCTGCTAAGAGTAGCCATCTGGAACACATGTGGGCAATCTCCTGTCCTCTCCTTATCCAGAGGGGTTCTAAGGAACTGGTAAACTTACTTGGTCTTTGTTGCTGTGGTTGATTCCACTTTTGCAGAGATATTTTCAATTTGCCATACCTCCCCCAAGAAGTCTGCACTGGTTGCTACTAGGTTTTGGAGGCCAATTCAAAGCCCTGAATGCCTTGGCCCCCAGTTACTGGGAGAACTGCCTCTCTGAACAAATCTGTCTGTGAGAGATGGTAGACAGGTTTGAAAAGGAATGGAGAAGGCAGTCAAAAAGGATCACTACCGTGTTTCCCTGAAAATAAGACTTTTTTTTTCCTCCAAAAGAGGCACCAGATCTTATTTTTTGGGTGTGTGCATGTCTTTTTCACTCACCTCTGGCACTGACAGCTCCGCCCAGCTGACCCACTTCTTCTGGGACAGAAGGAGCAGCTTCATTCTGCAGCTGAGAATGGAGCTCCAGCCTGTATTTTGCAGTCAAAGGCTTTCCTGGAAGGCCACTGCAGCTGAGCACTGAGCTATGGATTCAATCCCATAGCTCGGTGCTCGGCTGCAGAGGCCTTGCAGAACCGAACTATGGATTGAATCCATAGCTCAGTTCTTGGTGCAATGAGAAAGGCCTCTGATTGCAAAATGCAGGCTTGGGGACGCCGCAGAAGAAGTGGCTGCAAGGAAGTGGGTGCAGGACGTGTGGGGCAGCTCCACCCCCTGGACCCCCGCCCTAGCTTGATTTTTAGATGTTTATCTTGCCCCCAAACTAGGGCTTATTTTTGGGGTAGGGGTTATATTAGGCCCACCCCCAAAAATCAAGCTAGGGCTTATTTTCGGGGTAGGTCTTTCAGGGAAACACAGTAAGAGCATGAAAACAGGCCCTTTTCTATGGATACCACTAATGCAGCAATTGCTTACCCCCAGAGGACCAGATCATCTCCAATAATTTTTAAGCCTATGTTGAAGATTATTTATTTATTTTATTCAATTTCTGGGGATCTGTGCAGGTTTTTAAAATCTGAATGCTTTAATGGATGGCTCGTCACATCCAGTATTTCTATGCAACAACTACAGTAGTATTCAGCCAGTAGATGGCAGTATTTACAAGTTTGGATCTAGGCTATATGTGATCTTTTGTTCTGAGTAGAGTTTCTTGTTTCCTGTTACAGGATATAGTTGAGCAGTAAAGCACATGGTGACTGTACTCTTTATTTGCTCTATGTGGTGCTTTATATAAACAGAATTTCTGATATGAGTCAATAAATCAAATAAACCCCTCCCTTGGTGCCAGTCACTCTTCCAATTCCATTCTGGCTTGATCTTGTACCCATTCGAGGTCAGAATAGATGACTTCTCCCTTCATTCCAAGTCTAAAAATGGGTGATAGAAATACCTAGGAGGAATCTGGGGCTACTATGGTTATAAAGCTCAAGCTGGGCTCCAGATACCTATCTACGTGGCCACAAACCCAATACTATTTCTTCCTTTCACAGTGAAGATTCGCATCGTTTGTCTGCATGAAGACTTTCGCCCCGCAAATAAGAAGGTAGGCTGTGACAGAGTACAATGGCTACTCACTCCCTTCCTTGGAAGGCTACAGTCGTCGCTAAAGCTTCACCTTGGCATAATAAGAAAATATACCTTTGCTATGTTCATGTAATTCCTGCAGGCAAGGATAGTAAAATAATGTCAAGATGGCATCTAGGCACATGAGCACATCCTGGTCTACAATAATATCATGAACTTGCATGCTCACCTTACGCTCACATAAGCACAATGATCTTCCTTGTCTGTAAAAGCCACAATGGGCATCAAAATGACATGTCTGTCACAAACATGCCATACATGTGACACAAACTGAGTTCTTTAGTTTGTGTTCCCTCTTCCATTAATTATTTGTTAGTTTTGTGCCATGCCTTTTGTCCAGGAGATCAAGGTGGCTCTTTTCTCCCCTTTTCCCCTCAACGGCGATCCTGTAAGTATCACAGAATAACAGAGTTGGAAGGGACCTTGAAGAACTTCTAATTCAATGCCCTGATCAAGTAGGAAACCCTATACCAGGGGTAGGCAACCTTGGCTCTTTTATGACTCGTGGACTTCAACTCCCAGAATTCCTGAGCCAGCATGGCTCAGCTTGGAAACCTCTCCCTTTCCCCTCAGCATGGCTGGCTCAGGAATTCTGGGAGTTGAAGTCCATGAGTCCAAATGGCTGTCCAGTCTCTTCTTAAAAACCTCCAGTGATGGCGCATCCACAACTTCTGAAAGCAAGCCATTCCACTGATTAATTGTTCTCATTGTCAGGAAATTTCCCCTTAGATCTAGGTTGCTTCTCTCTTGGATTAGTTTCCACCTATTGCTTCTTGTTCTGCCTTCAGGTGCTTTGGAGAATAGGTTACGTACCCAATTCCTGCAACTGTTCTTCATTAATTTGATTCTCCAGTCCCCTAACCATCTTTGGAACTTATCCAAACTCTCCCAGAACTTTCCACGTCTGAGGAGGACCAGGATTTGGCTTCCCTGGTCCTACTGCAACAAATTCCCCGCTGCCCCACAAACAGCAGGGATTACCCGTAATCTTATATATCCATATTTCCTCTCTGTGTATGCATGTGTATAAGATTATAATTTGTTGTAGTCTTGTAATTTCTGATTTTTCTCTCTCTTGCTTTTATTTCTGTCAGATTCCTTTAATTTACATCCAGGTAAGTACTTATTTTTTTCTCTTACCATAATAACAAGATGGCTGCTACACCCCCAAATCATGTTTGTTGGTATCAAAACTGCACAATGTTCAGCATAATTCAAGCTTAATCTCCTCCTTAATGTCATCATTCACAACTTTTCAGATTTTATTTTCTTTCGTTTAAGAAGGAGAACCAACAAATGTTATGGAACACATTGAAGGAAGAGATGCAGTTTGGGCATGATAGAATTATAGTTAATATGCGAATTAGTTGGAACACACGGATATAGCCAGCGCTTGTTGGACCGTGCGCTGTGTACTTTATTTTATTTAAGAAATTCTGGAAAATGAGCCAATTGCCAGAAATTGGAAGAGGGCAAATCTAGACAGCATACTAAAAAGCAGAGACATCGCCTTGCCAACAAAAGTGCATATAGTCAAGGCCATGATTTTCCCAGTTGCAATGTATGGCTATGAAAGTTGGACCATAAGAAAGGCTGAGCAACAAAGAATTGAGGCCTTTGAACTATGGTGCTGGAGAAGACTCCTGCAAGTTCCCTGGACTGCAAGGCAATCAAACCAGTCAGTTCTAGAGAAGATCAACCCTGACTGCTCTTTAGAAGGCCAGATCCTGAAGTTGAAACTCAAATACTTTGGCCACCTAATGAGAAGGAAGGACTCACTGGAGAAGAGCCTAATGCTGGGAAAGATTGAGGGCAATAGAAGAAGAGGACGACAGAGAATGAGGTGGCTGGATGAAGTCACTGAAGCAGTAGGGTGAGTTTAAATGGGCTCCAGAAGATGGTAGAGGACAGGAAGGCCTGGAGGAATGTCCATGGGGTCATGATGGGTCGGACACGACTTCGCAACTAACAATAACAAACAAAATATCTACTTCTTCAGGAAGAGGAAAAGACAGACCAATCAATTTGGTATCAAAATTGACAACAAAGTTTCTGGAAATGCACTAGTATATAAGCCAAAATAAGATATATGTATACATGCATGCCTGTGAAGATTCTACAGTAGGTCATAAAAATGATTTTATGCCCCTTGAAAACAGTGCAATAATTTACCAGAGGTCAGCATGAATTTATCAACAACTCTTGTCAGATTATATTTATCTTTATATTAAGTAACTTTTTCAGTAGATAGTGGTAATGCAACAGATATAATATGACTTGATTTCAGCAACACATTTGACAAAGTACCCTATGGCATTCTGATTTACAAGCTAATAAAACATGAGCAGTTGGATAGGACAGTCCATTTCAAATATCCAAATGAGGGAGCTACAGAATAAGGCTATTTAAGGAGTCATAATCTTAGGTTTCCAGAAGGCTAATTCCAGTTCAATAACAGAATAATAGCATTGGGGGGACCTTGGAGCTCTTCTAGTCCAGGGGTAGGGAACCTTGGCTCTTTTATGACTTGTGGACTTCAATACCCAGAATTCCTGAACCAGCCATGCTGACTCAGGAATTCTGGGAGTTGAAGTCCACAAGTCATAAAAAAGCCAAAGTTTCCTACCCCTGTTCTAGTCCAACCCCCTACTCAAGCAGGAAACCTTATACCAAGGGTGTCAAACTCACAATGTCACGTGACGTGTCGCGACGTATCACAAGTTTTTTTCCATTGCCAGCAATGGGGTGGGCGCGGTTTCAGCATGACGCATCCGGCCCATGGGCCGGCAGTTTGACACCCCTGCCTTATACTACTTCAGAAAAATGGTGGTCCAATTTTTTTCTTAAAGAGACATTTCACAAAACTTTTTAAGAATAAAGGAACATCTTTATTGGTAGTGGATATTCCCTGAGTATAAGCCTGTCGTGCTCATCCTGGAATCCCATTCCTTTAAGCTGCTCTATGACACTTTCTGGAAGTTAATAATAATAATACCAAAGTGATCACTTGAGGGCACCATTATCATGGGCATAACAGACAATTTGGAAGTTCTCCTGCACTAGGCCTATCATTAGCCAGGTAGCCACTGGCTATGATGTTATGCTAGTAAGGATAACGGATGGTATTTTGTTATATCTTCCAGGAAATCTAAGTATTTTGGCTGGCCTTGAATTTGTTTCCCCATCATGCTATCGTATCAGAGCATGAACTCTAAGTCATTGGGACTTAAGCATTGACCTTAAGTCAATGGGACTTAATGAGTGGGCAAAAATACTAAGTCATTTAGCAATACCAATGCATTTTCCTGTGGAAATGAAGAAATTTGGGGAAGGGAGACAATAACCAGAGAAGACTTTTATCTGGAAGGTTGTGAACTCAGCTCAGCTCAATGCTTTTGTTTTTTAAGACATTGAATATATATTTTTATGATTTGAATTAAAGTTTAATTTCTAGTTTATTGTACGAGTATATATATATATTTTTAGGGATGCTTCAGAATTTGATTTTCTTCTCCAGAATGCAAGGTGATACAATCTGCTCAGGTTGCAGGCACCATTCGTCCCTTAGGTTATCTAGAGCAAATAGATTTTTTTTATATGATTTACTACGGGTGCAGAAGTAGGGAGAACAAAGTGTTAAATATTAACCAACATTGCAATTTTTTTAACCAAGAGATATGGGCAGAAGTACTTTTTTTTGGCGGGGGGAGAGGCGTACTTCACTATTCTGATTGGGGTGAAATGGGATTTCCAAATCCACCCTCAATATCAGTTAATGATTGAGTGAAAGGGTTTCAAAAGAAAGAATTTAAATTTGAATTAGGTTCTTGGAACTTGGCAACGACAGTTCATTGCTTTAGAATAGAATAGAGCTGGAAGGGACCTTGGAGGTCTTCTAGTCCAGCCCCCTGCTCAAGCAGGAGAACCTATACCATCTCAGACAGGTGATTGTCCAGTCTCTTCTTAAAAATTTCCAGTGATGGAGTGCCCACGATTTCTGGGGGTAAGCTGTTCCACTGGTTGATTGTCCTCACTTTCAGGAAGTTTCTCCTTAATTCCAGGTTGCTTCTCTCTTTGATCAGTTTCCAACCGTTGCTTCTCGTCTTTCCCTCTGGTGCTCTAGTGAACAACCTGACCCCCTCTTCTTTGTGGCAGCCCTCAGATACTGGAACATTTCTATCATGTCTCCCCTATTTCTTCTTTTCTTTAGATTAGCCAAACCCAAGTCCCGCAGCCGTTCTTCGTATGTTTTGGTCTCCAGGCCCTTGATCATCTTAGTTGCTCTTCTCTGAATTTTTTCCAAACTCTTTTTTGTGATATGGTGACCAAAATTGGCTGCAGAAAAGAAAAGCGCAAAGAAATTCCAGTTTCTTTTAGAAGGTCCTCAATAGTTTAATGTAGCTTTCCCCAAATTGGAGTAGAATTGAACTAAACCTGCCAGTGAGTCCTGGACTGATTGCCCAGGTAACATTCTTAGCAATTGTGCTTAAATAAGTTGCTATGGTCTTCTTCCAGATTTTTTTTTTTTAATTCTTGGTCCACTTTAAGCTGGTGATTTTCCATTTAGAAACTAATCTGGTCCAAACCTGGACAGGTCCAGGTAGTGTTCTTGGCAGCAATAGGGATATGATTTCCTGGAAACTTTTTCAGACGTCTCAGTCTAATTTATAGGTCTAAGATTTCCTAGGCATTTTCTATCAAGATAATAGCCATTTCCAACCCGGCTAACATCAGAAATAACAAAAGTGGTTTGCCACTCCTGTGCTCCAGCTGCTTTTTTTGACTTTTTAGTCCAGTGGGATTTCCTAGTGGTCTCCCATTTATGTATTTTTTTTTTGTTGGATGAGTGGCCATGTAAATTTGATAACAAACAAACAAACACATAAGTAACCAACTAACCAGTCCAAATATTCCATAGCTCAGTGTTTCTCAATCTTGACAATGTTAAGATGTGTGGACTTCAACTCCTAGAGTTGGCTGGCTGGGGAATTCTGGGAGTTGAAGTCCATACATCTTAAAGTTGCTAAGTTTCAGAAACACAGTCTTGCCTTCTCAAGAAAGGTTCACTTCTCATCTGTGTGATGATTGCCCCACTCATCTATACCAGGGGTCTTCAAACTTGGCCCTTTTATGACTTGTGGACTTCAACTCCCAGAATTCCTCAGCCAAGCACTCTGGCTGAGGAATTCTGGGAGTTGAAGTCCACAAGTCATAAAAGAGCCAAGTTTCAAGACCCCTGAAGACTGCAAAACCTGTTATTGCCCCACTGGGAAAGATTGAGGGCAATAGAAGAAGAGGACGACAGAGAATGAGGTGGCTGGATGGAGTCACTGAAGCAGCAGGCGTGAGCTTAAATGGACTCCAGAAGATGGTAGAGGACAGGAAGGCCTGGAGGAACCTTGTCCATGGGGTCGCAATTAACAACAACAAAAAAAACTGCTTTTAAGCTCCCCCCCCCCCCCGCCAGCAACCTGAGATACCTAATATGTTTCATTTTACAACTGGGCCATTCTCTGTTTTCTGTCTCTATTGTGAAAGCAAGAGAGAAATGTCATTGACCAGATAAAGTTCTCTGATAAGATTGATTGCAAATTGGCTTGAAAACTGGGGAAAGAGGCCAACGGGCTATCAGAGGGAAGTGATGCTTTCTGTTTTCCTGCTAGGGATGTGCAGATGACAAAAGTTTGCATGTTTTTTTTTTAAAATGAGTCAATTGGTTTTGATAGAATGAAGGCAGAGTGGTGGATCCAAGGAGATTTGAAAACAGAATAATTTTTTTACTTGTTTTTGAAAAAATGAGGTTTTTTTCCAAATGCTTTGCCTGTTGTTGTGAAATCTGTTTTTTACTTACACACTCACCCACCCACCCTAATATAGACTAACTGCCTCACAGCTGGTCTGATTCCTACGGTTTTTAAAAAAAGGATTTGTTTTCCTAACTACTTGACTTTAGGAGATCTTGTGTAAGGGTTTCCAATGTTTTTAGCCCATGTTTTTGGAAGAAAATGACTAGGAAGTTGTTCTAAACCAGGAGCCTTCAAACTTGGCCCTTTTATGACTTGTGGACTTCAACTCCCAGAATTCCTCAGCCAGCGTGCCTGGCTGAGGAATTCTGGGAGTTGAAGTCCACAAGTCATAAAAGGGCCAGGTTTGAAGGCCCCTGTTCTAAACCAACTTCAGTTGGTGGGATGGCTTATCTACCCATGAAGCCCGAACTAGGGTTTTTTCCTTTTATCTCTGCAAGATATCTGTCTGTGAGCTTCTGTTCACCATTCCTACCAAGTTCCCTTCTCCGAGTACCGTACAATCCAAGTGAGGCACCAGCTTTTCAATTGAAAGCAGCTTAATTAGCAGAGATGGCTACACTGACTGTTTTGATAAAAGAAAAGAATATATTGCATCAGACCGGACGCAATTTGTGTTGGCAGGGGGGCAGAGGTCAACCTCGAGGCGCCTCACTTGTGGGGTACCACAGGGGTCGGTCCTCTTGCCTCTCCTGTTCAATATTTATATGAAGCCACTGGGTGAGATCATCCGTGGTTTTGGGGTGGAGTTTCATCAGTACGCAGATGACACCCAGCTGTACATCTCCACCCCGGACCACCCCAACGATGCCGCAGAAGTGATGTCCCGGTGCCTGGAGGCCGTGCGAGTCTGGATGGGGAGGAACAGGCTTTGACTCAACCCGTCCAAGAACGAGTGGCTGTGGTTTCCGGTGTCACGACATAGCCAGTTGGCTCCATCCCTGGCTATCGGGGGCGAGTCATTAGCCCCCGCGGAGAGGGCCCGCAACCTGGGCATCCTCCTGGATACTCGGCTGTCTTTAGACGACCATGTGACGGCTGTGGCCAGGGGGGCTTTTCATCAGGTTCGCCTGATATGCCAGTTGCGCCCCTTTCTGGATCGTGACGCTCTACGCATGGTCACTCAAGCCCTCGTTGTTTCCCGCCTGGACTATTGCAATGCTCTCTACATGGGGCTCCCCTTGAGGTGCACCTGGAGGCTCCAGCTAGTTCAGAATGCGGCCACGCGGGGGATCCTGGGGGCCTCTAGATACTCCCATGTAACACCTCTCCTGCGCGAGCTGCACTGGCTGCCTGTGGCCTTCCGGGTGCGCTTCAAGGTGTTAGTAACAACCTTTAAAGCGCTCCGTGGCAATGGACCTAGGTATTTGCAAGACCGCCTCCTACCAAACAC